ACTGTAGCCTAACCCAAACTAAAAACAATCGTTAAACCATCGTATCCAACTATCGTTCGCCCATTATTAAATCACTAAACCGATTTAAATCGTTCGCCATAAGTCACGTGACCCGGCCGATTAAAGCAAGAGAAGGACTCCGACCCCAATTCGACGAATCGTAACCCCAGGTTAAGGAAGTAGAAGGAAGATAAGAGCAAGCAGAGGTTAATAGAAGGATAGGTTAAAGGAAGGACTTAGAAGAGAAGAATAGTACTTACCTACGGATAAACCACTAGCCAAATCTAACACGCCTGTTTCGACTTAGCCGCCGTAGTTTGCACGAGGATTGGAAAGAATTAGCGACAGACTCGCCGATTTGCCGCGCAACAATATTAGAAATTATAGATCGAGTTCATAAAAAATATGTTTATCATTTTCTAATGACTAAAGAAAGAATACAGGAATAAATGTTGTAAACGGCACCAAGTAAAAATTACATACCAATTTCAAAATATTCAAGAGCTTCTAAACCTAATATTTATTGTCCGAAGCGAAGCGGAGGACTTACACTTCTAGACAATTTCAATGCACGATCATGCAATGTCTGTCCGAAAAAACCAATAAAATTCGTTACACGTGATAATTTTATGCAGGATGCAGATCACGAGTAATGCGTAACGTATACAGTACTATAAATCTCCAACTAAAAATCCCAAGAGTTTTCTTATGCTTCGGACTTTTAACGGTCTCCGTTTCCTAGTAAAATTCAATATTTATAACGTTAAAATATAACCGGCTCATGAAATTTAAGGATTTTTAATTCATGTAACCCTATTGTCGTGTTCAGAAAACTGCTCCACAATCCAGGATCTCGCGTAACAAACGATAGGTAACCTTACGAAAGTGGTGCGTTAGATTAGGCTGAGGCATTATTAAGGCTTGGGTTACTTTGGGTCACAAGCGTCCGGAAGGTTTGGGTCACGTGATAAAAGATTAAACGATATTAGCGTAGCAGCAACTTATGTAATATTATGAGTAATTGTTTAATAAACTTGGGACTTATTTATTAGTGAAGCAAACGAGACTTGATTTTCTCGGAGCAATTAGGCCCTTTATTTATAACAAACTTTAATTATGACTTATTTTACTTGACAATTTTCGCTTCTACATTTTCTTTATTTAATCCGACTACTTTAATTTATTTATCTAAACTATAATAATTATAAAATCCTTTTTTGCTATTATATCCCCTTCCTTGATATATTTAAGAAATCGGTTTTAATTGCAAGGATGTTCATATCCAGCATTTGATCTTCATACCCGCGTCAAATGTGATAAGCGCAGTTTATTCGAATCACGTTGTTGGACCTAACACTACTTCCATTTTAAATTTTATTTTTTAAAGGTGCAAATAACTTAATTACGCTGTAATAATTTTGTCTTTTATTTAGGTGCTCTTATATAACAATATATAATAAAGGCTTCGAGCCCTAAAAGAACAATTTCAGTTTTGCGCTAATCATAAATTTCGCCCCTATAATAATTCTCTATTTCATTGTACTATAAAACCTACGATCTTAAATACACCACTCTCCAAATCTAACCGCCTCTTATCGACTAAGCCGTTCGTAGGTTACACGACATATCCCATCGACAAGCGACTGACTCGCTGTTTCGCTCGTGTCAGTATACGCTGTAGTCTTAGAGTGCATCATATGGTTGATTATTACACATGTAATTCTCTTTTCTACTTGCAAATTAGCTTACTAAATTGTAGTAATGTTCCGTTTACTGTATGATTTTTGAAGGACATCTTGATCTCCTCTAAATTAACCTGTATTATAGCTAAAGCTAGCTAAATTATCAGGGTTAAGTCTTTCAAAATGAGTTCCGGGAATTTGAATAATAATGAAATTACCTAGCAGATTTCTATTTGAAATTAATTGATTTGATAACAATCGTTCCGACTAGTGATGTGCCGCGTACAGTACAGTACGCAAAAATTTTTTTAGAACATTCTAGAACAAATTATTAAAGTATTCCTATCTCAAAATTTTGATTATGAAACTGTCTTTCGCATTCTAACAAAAATTATTACTTGCACAATGTTGCATATAATTGATTTATAAATGCTACATCTATTATGTGTATGCTATAGACACTAACAACTATACGTACTGTACGTACTATACGCGAAAAAAATCAGATATCATATAAATGGCACATCTATAACTCCGGCAGGTCATCAAATTATGATTCTAACTTCCAATTTAAGGGCTGAAGCAAGAGTAATATTAAAAACCAAGCAAAGCTAATTAGCAGAAAAACAGAACACTACCTTGATATAATTAATATAAAACACGTACACTTAGTAATGGGGAAAATGCGCATTTTAAAATAACATGCGCATGAATGCGCATTAATGCGCACGAAATGTTTCATGCGCATGGTATCGCATGATAAAAAAAAGGAAAAAAAAAAGAAAAAACGATCGAGAGGAGAGAAATCTTGATGGGATAAAATGCGCATGAAACGGAATCATGCGCACGCATGAAACCCATCTCTACGTACACTGTCCAATTTTCAATTCAAAAAATTAATAAACGCAAATATTTTTTTTCAATTCATATAAATTTATACGTATTATACAATGAAATGAACATATGCATTTCACAATATAATTATCGTCTGCGTACAAGAATTAATTATCTGGGGTCCGTATTATTTCGCCGACAATCGCTTCATAGACAGGTTATTGCACCGAAGCTCATTTCACCGACAAGTTTTTTTTTATAAATTGCATTAAATTTAATTCTAATTCTAACCTGACTCTAACGAAATATCTAAAACTACATTGTCTGTGAAATGAGCTTCGGTGAAATAAACTATCGGTGTAATGTGGTGTCTATGAAGTGATTGTCTGTGAGTTGATTGGAACCGATTATTTGCGCGAGTAATATAATTCCAAAAAGAAAACTTAATATAATTGTTTACATGGTGTTCAATTTCAGATTAGGAATGCTTCTTTAAATATATATTCAATAGAAATCATACAATAACTTGAATTAAAATAAGTGAGGACATTAAATGTGATAGATTTATCTGGTTTTTAACAAGTCTTGATAATAAATAAAATGGTAGAACACCTATCAAAGGTGACGGAGTGCTATTATTCAATTAATTTAATAAACCACTAAAAAAAATTTACATATAATGAACAATAAATGCACATTCAGTATAAATATAATACGTAATTTTAATATGTTAGTACCTTATTATTCTCATCATTTTCATTTCCATAGCAGCAAACCTCTTGGCTTCCATCATCCAATAATAAGGCAGGTTGGCTGTAAAGTGCTGGTTTACCAGTAGCTGTATGGAAAAGACTTATAGTATCTTCATTTCTCAAATAACTATAGAAAATGCCAGGGCCAAAACTTTTAATTTCCCAATCGTCATCAAAATTTCTACCATCGTCAAGTGTCACTAAAGTATTTAAACTAAGTATTACTAAAGTATTTAAACTTAATAAACTTTAATTCGTATTATTTAAACTAAGTATTTAAACTTAATAACTTTAATTCGTATAAACAAACCAAATTAGCTAGATAAAATGAATACCTTGCTGATAATTTGATTTGGGTATAACTTCAACAGACGTGCTATGGGAATGTAAATATAATTTTGTTGCTTGATGCTTAAATCCAATAACTGTATTAAAGGATACGGAATGCTCTGTATTTACATTTTCATCATGAGCCCCAATAATCGTCCAAACATCATTTATCAAATCTATATATTGGTTACTGCAAATAACCTTTATAGATTTATAAAGTTTATAATGAAATTTTTCTAGCATTAATTATACAAATGAAAATAATTATATTTAATACCATATATTGTTTATTATCTGGTCCTGAGTCATATTTAATCTCTTTAGTGGACAAATATTTTCCTGTAGTCACATGAACGAGTGCAACTTTTGACCCATATGTGATTGATTTTTTCTATAATTATTTAGAGAATTAAAAGACAAGATTCATAATATATATTTTCAAAATTTTATAACTTGAAATTTTTAGGTCTTACAAAAAAATCTTCTTTCACTTCCCCAACTGATAAACGCCAGTTAAAATAACGAACATTTCTATTTGATAAAATGATCATTTGAATATTTTATATATCTAAATTAACATCATTACTGTAATAAATTATATACCTTATTTCACCATTAAATCCGTTCCAAGAGAAAGCTTTACCGATATGCAGTGGTCCATCATTGAAGATAACCCTTTGCTTTTTAACTTCTTGAATACTGTAAAACCCGAGCCATTCACCATCTAGATAGACATCTAATCTTTTTTCGGAGTCAGAAAGTGTATAAGCTATATGGTACCATCTTTGTAAAGAAAGCCCATCGCCTAGTTCCATAATTCCTGCATTACTATCCCAGTTGCCTGTGAAGCGGGCATGTAATTTAGAATTATTTTCTCTCAACGGACCAAATCTGCGGTACCTAAATATTCGTATATTTCAAAGAATATTAGGATTATAAAGTACTATATAAAGATATATCTAGTCTTACCTTTGTGAAAAATAGTAGCCCAGCTAGAAGAATGACTTTGAAGTTTCAGTCTCAATGTCAATGACAGTTCATCTTTTACCACAGGTAAGTCTGTATGACTAATTATTTGTTGTTCTTGAATTCCGAAAGCAATAGGGTTTGAAATAATTTCAACCCACTCTCGTACTATTAATCTTTCCATTTTCTGATAATAATTATAAATTTTTATTCTTTCCTATTCTGTGAATTTCAACATAAATTCTAAAATAGAATTCTTATAGAGAAAAAAATGGGGAAATCGAATATTCCCTAATTTATTGAAGTCGATATAAGGAAATAATGTACAACTTACCAATTAAATTTCAAGATTAAGTGTAACCAAGAAGCAACGCTAAAAATTAAAAAAAAAACGCTTGTAATTTAAAATGTTGTATGAGAAAAGTATTAATATAAGTTTACTTGTTATAAGTATAGTTTCCTAATCCCAACTCTAATTTTGCGATAAACCTCTAATCTGAATGAATTTATCTTTATCGTTATTTTTGCTGTTAACGATTTATAAAAGATAATAATTTCGACTTAATCATCCATCTATTTATCTATATTAATATTTTGTTATTGTCATGAAATGCTTAACCATATTATTATTATTATTTATTTCTTCCGCCACATTCGTGTAAAATTTGTAAATTACTAGTGTACTAGGTGGCGCGAAGCACCACCTCGCCCTCATTGACACAGATTATCATGAAATTGGATCATCGTAAAATTTGGGGTCTCAATTTGAAAATACAAGCCCTACCAAAATCCACATATACTCTTTTATTAATAACTCCAACCCTAAATCCTAACTTAACTATAAAAAAAAGCAGATAAAAAAGGCTCCGAAAAATTTTAAAAATCGTACATAAAATAGATACATACGATGATCCGATTTTACGATAAAGTTGATTATATTGCTGATCTGCGGATTATAAATGAAGAATTGACCTACGTGTTGATGAAAACTTGTATTATATGAGAATAATTACGCAGTATTCATAGGCAGAAGTTGTAATAAATTCAATTTAATTTTACATTATTTATACAGTTTAGAGTACGTTTTTTTTTAAAAAAACAAAACTAATCATAATGAAATAAAACAATCTATATAGAAGATTTTATTAGAGCTGTAGGACTCCATATCCAAAAATAAGATCTAATTCTCTTCCACTTAAAAAAGAGTTATTATAGTAATAACTTATCAAACCCCAATAAAATCAACTTATTACTAAGGCTAATTTATTTAAACGAACGAGAATTAGATCTTATTTTTGACCATGGAGCCCTATAGATCTAATGAAACATTCTATATAGTTTTTGTTACTTTATTATGGTTGGTTTTCGTTTTTTTAAAAAGTACTCTAAACCGTATAAATAATGTAAAATTAAATTGACTTTATTAGCCAATCAGACGAACTTCTTCTTATGAGCGCAGTATGCTCATAATCGACCAAATTACGAATTAATAAACAATCAGCGTGTGGATCCAAATACCAATTTCTTTATTACAGTATTATATACTTTGATTATTATGACAATGGCAGGATACGTGACTGAAGAATAATTGACAAATAAAGAATTGATCTGCTGGTTGAAGGGTTGAACTGAAAAATTATATTATAAGAGGACTAATTAATAATTGGTTCGAATCAAATTTTCACATTAATGCAAATTACAAGACTTAATCAGATACTATAATAAATTGATTTTTTAGTGGCGAAAACAATCAACACTTTATTATCATAATATTACATATTAGTCTTAAATCCTGTCAGTTGTTAATTAGGCCGTTCGAAGTTAATTCTTCGGTTAACATCACTTTCAAAACTTTTGGAAGGGGGCAAAATGAAACGAACATATAAAAATGTGGCAATTTCATTGGTCGTGTGTAAATCAAACGATTGGTGCGTTTTGATTGGTTGTTCATTTTTTCGGGGGACTTCAGCTGGGGGTGATGTGAACCAAAGAATTAGCTTCGAACGACATTAGCAATGTCAATTTTCTAATTTATACTGAATGAAAATGACTCTGGTCAATTTTTAACATATTAGTTATTAACAATGATTAATCAAGTTCATAGATATTGATTTTTTTCTAATAATTGCTGATGAATTTATGAACTTTATATAAAAAGAATAAAAGAATAAATTATGTAAACGGACACCGGGCAAGAATTACATTCCAAATTTGTAATATCTATGAGTTTCCATCTAATAACATTTAATCCACAACATTCAGGACAATTTAATTTATAATCTAATCGATGATCGTGAAATCAGATAATGATAAAATTTGGGTTTCGATTTGAAAATATAATACCTGCCAAATTCCACGAATACTCTCCTAACTTAAAAGGTAAATCGTGATTAAATGGTATAAAAATAGCGAATTTAATAGTAAAAATTACCGGAAATTGATATGGTTTTTCTATACAGTTGGAATGCAGCTAGCTTACAATTAAATTTTTTTTCATGCAAAGTAAACCTTCCTTGAGTTTCTAACAAAGATTATATAACAAGTCATTCCGGTTATAATAGTGGTAGAATTATTCAAATTGGTTCAGTAGATTGCGAGCTATTGGCATTTTCTCCTTTATAACTATATGATTTTTACATAATGCCAGAAACTTCTGGCATTCCAACATTATATGAAAGTAATAGTAATTTTTCACCGATTTTTACTATGAAAGTTATACCCTTCAACTGCGATCTACCACTTAATTAATTTAGTATAGAAGGTTGATCTAATATTTTTTAAAAAGTTAAGAAATTTCTTTTAAATTATTATTTAGATGTATATATATAATACATATTTGACTTATTATTTTTTTTTTATATATATAGATGTAATAAAATAAAAATTATTTATTACTTTTTTCTTCTAATAGTGTGTTCTATTTGGAAAATTCTGTAAATAATCAATCTTCAAATATTTTATTAATTCAAAAAAACTAAGAGTTGGTTACTAGACATAAAGATAGTAGTAAAAATAATAAAAACAATTATGAAGCAATTTTGAATTATTTACACAAAATATTAGATAAGATATTTATAATAACATTCTATAATATGGTACTTATATATTATTAATTTTTAATTATTTTGCAAATTAAAATACATTTAGAAAAATTATATAACAAACCTAAAGAAGATTTATGTCTAAAAAATGTTCATTTAGACTTTAAATTATTAGAAAAAATAAATAATGATATTATAACATTAATTAATTATATAACAATACCAAAGACTTGAAAAGATTTTAATAAAAATATAATGTATTAGATATAAAATATATATAAAATATAATTATTATAGAAATAAATAATAATAATTTAAGATAATATTTTAATTATATTTAAAAGTTATGTGTATTTAAGAATAATCTTAAATTGTATTTAAAGCAATTACAAAAATTATTTATTATAATAAAAAAACATATATCTGAGCAGCATTTAATTTAGTAAAAATAATAATTTTGTAATTATTAAACAAAAAATAAGGATGTAATAATTTAGTAAAGTAAACAAATTGTTATCTTTCCAAATAAAAGATTAGATATTTAAAATTTACAAATAATAAAAATTTAAATAATTATCTGTTTTATGATAACTATTTTTAATAATTAGATTAAAATATCTTAATTATAGTTATATAGATAAATACAAACTGATATTGGATAATGTAAACCTAAAATAAGTTCTTGTATTTGTATAAATTTATAAAAACTAAAAAACAAAAAATTTATTAAGAAACCTAAACAAAGAGATAATATAAATCTTTGCTAATATTACTATAAAGACTAGACCTATGAAACAAATACTAATATGAAGAAACAAAATAACAAGAATCTTTAAATTGAAGATAATACTAATCAGATCACCAAAATTTTAACTAAAAAGATCAAAGAAAAAAATATCAGACCAATTTAATATTTTAATAAACTGGCTGTAATCTTACTAAATTATCTGAATTAAAAATTTGAAAACAGAAACAGAATATACTAAATTATTAGAAATATGTTATAAAATAATACTAGAATTTAAATGAATTTTGCAAGAATATAATTCTGTTAAAGTTTTTGTAAAGTAAGTAAATAAATTAATAGAAGAGTCTTTGAGTTTTACTGATATATAATAGATTCTAAAATATGCTACAACCTAGGTACTAATACAAAAAAAACATTAAAACAAACCTGAATAGTTTTTAGTAGAAAGCAGTATAGAGTCACTTGTCTTAGTATAAAATAGTTAGAGCTATACAGATACTGATTAGATAAACTAGAAAGTTTAAATAAGACATTTATAAATAAAATTATATATGACAAATAGTAAATAATTACAGACAGCATTTATTATTTAAAAAAAAATAAAAAATAAAAAATAATTTATAAAAGAATTTTATATAGCATATATATTTTTTTGAACTTTTGGTTATTTAACAACCAAAATTTTGTATAACTTGACAAATCTGTCTGGCTATCATTATTTAAGGTGATACTAAGGTAATTTAAATTTACATATTTTTTATATAATCATGTTATGTTTTTGAGGCTCATAAAATTTAGTAATTTGATTGACTAGTAGAAAGGTTCAACAAAAATTTGTATGTACAGTACATATAGTACTGTATGTAGCACATTTCTAATCGCTATAATGCTATAACAAATTGTGTGTTAATTATTTTATACACTAGTTCTAATACAAAGAACATATAAGTTAACTATTGAAAGTTAAATTGTACTAATAGCTCTATAGGCTCTCTCAAATAATAATAACAGCGTTCTTAAAATTACATTTGTTATTCATGATTTATATTTGAAATTAACTGAAATGATAACTGTCATTCTACCATTAAATTATAAGACTTTTTTAATAACTAATCTAATATGTAGTGTAAGTCCTGAAATTGGTACTACTAATATCATGATCACATGTGATCAATTATCAAAATAAGGTCTCAAGTAATTGATCTCATGAAAAGTAAAAGAAATTTTACTTTTCTTACTTCTAGTTCTTTTATTACTTTAATTACTTTCAATATTAGTAATAAGGGTTTTAACAACAATGTTATGTAAATAAGTGATGTAGAGAAAGTTAATCCTCAATTAAATACATTTGAATAACAAACCTGAGTACCCGTCACTTAATAAAAATGAAAGTAC